CTTTCCCTGCTGTCAGTCAGGAGTAGCTCTATGCAGTCTATGGTGTTACAATAACTGACAACTGGTAATAACAGTAAGATGTCTAATGTCTACCTTTTTTTTTTTTTTCCATTTAGCATTTCTTACCAAGTGTGTCTAATAAAGATAAAATTATTTTCTGTAGAGGAAAAGACATACCATTTTAAAATGGAATTCTAGAGTTCTTGAGAAAAGTGTAACTCTCCATATTTTCCTGAAATAAGTGAAGACTGTGTAAATACAAATTAATTTTGTGGCTTGCACAGCATGACTACATCTTTAATGCTAAAGCTATGACTATTCTACAGTCAGTAATGTCAAAACTAGTGGTACATAACATACAATTAACCTGTAGCACTCGCTGTCATACTATGTGACTAATATTGCAGCATACTTCACAAAATACATTACACATGTTACACTAGTCCCCATTTTTTTACTCTGGTGACATGTCTATTGTAGCCTAACTCAATTTTTCCTAAGCAGATGTATATGTAATGATAGTTCAGCTAACGATATTATCTTCTGTTGCATGGCTAGAATGACATCAGAGGAGCTATCAACTCTGTGGTCTGTGAGGTCTAAACTAATAGACATGATCTAGAATAACATTTCTGTCTGTGGTGCAGTACTCCAGAATGCCAGTATAACTCAAGAGCTTATATTTTTCTTCCAGAGAAATAGACACTGGCAAAAGGCTCCTCAACTGAGAAATGGCAGCTCCTATTATTCACATAAACTGATGTATACACAACCTTCTTAAACCACCCAGCTATTTTATGTGTTAACTATTGCTAATACTTATTTTTTTAAATTTCCTATTATGCATAGTCCATTATGCATAGCTCGACACGTACACCTTTCCACAATCTTGGAGTAGCTTATAATATAAAATGTATCTTTGTCCTCAAATTCAGGTTTTTAAAACCAACATCTAAATTTATAATTGTATTCATCCCTATAACTAATGGTGCTAATAGTAAAAGAGTGGGTACTGTAGGTAAGCTGTGGAGGGGCTTTTGCATAACAAATTGCTGTGTACCTTAGTTTTGTTACCTTGCTTTACATGTCCTTCTTTCATGTCATTAGCTCCAAATTAGTTCTTCCTTTTTGGTCTTTTAAAATATGCCCACAAACATTAATTTAGTTTGGGTTTTTTTTGTGTTTTTGGTTTTTTTTTTCCCGGAGTTAAAACATTTCCCTTTATTCTAGTGTTGCTTTACTGACATTTTTTATCTGCTTCCTCCTTTCTGTATCATTTGTAGTAGCAGTGACAGCGTCTTTGAATTATAGTTCTCAGTGGAAGCTGGCAGTCTAGCCTTAATTTAAATATACAGAGAAGCCATTAGATTCCTGGAGAGCTTCAAATACAGTCAAATTATAATGAAAGAGAACTTTCACACCAAGTTTAAACAGCTTTATTAACCCCAAGTTTGGTGGAATGCTCAGGAAACCATCCTGCCATTCTATTTGAAATCCAACTAATTTTTTAAATTAATGCTTGATCAGGCCAAGTCTATGTACAGAACTGCCACCTAATGAGCTGAAGTAGTAATCAGTTTGAAGTATATTGGTATAATTCTGTCTTTGGCTACACTGGGTTATAAATAAAATAAATTCATTGATGTTAGGAGTTGGTTCCATGTTGCTGTCTTTTGGAGCAAATCAGAAAGGAGCCAACAACAGAAAATTCTTTGATAGTCTTAACTGTTGCATACATGCATGAATAATTTTGAGGTTTTATTTGCTTTTTGTAACAATTTGAAGCATTTGCAAGAAAATATTGCAGGAAAATTTTCATTATAAATTAATGGAAAGATGTTTAATAATCTGCTCTGAAGCTGGTTACTGGCATTTTTTTTATCCATGTTTTTGTTTATATAAAGGGTTGCCTCTCATCCCTTTTATGCTTTGCTGAAGTTTTTTGTCTTCCATATTCACTCACAATGCATTTCTTAACACAGAGAAGTTATTGTCTGTGGCTACCAGTTTCTTTCAACCATCTTTTAGATTTGCTCTGCATTTACTGAAATCCTACAGGGTTGCCAGTCACAAGCTGCTATTGTTTTGAAAGTGCAAAGCCCCCTCTCACCAAATGGAAGATGCTTTGGGCTATGTTCTCATCCTCCTTCATTTGTGACTGTTTAAAAGCTCTGAGTTGTTTGGGTTGTTTACTTTTTTTTTGAGGGATCACAGCTCCACTACTCTAGACAGAATGTTTTTCTTCTGTAATTACTTGGGCTTCGAGCAATATATGGTGAACCGGCCTCATTTATTCTGCAGGCTGTACTCTTCCTTCTCCTCCTGCAGCTCCAAAATGCAACCATGGTCCTACTATGCAGATGGTGTGAGCAGAGAGGTCATTCAGGACAAGCCAGTACTGCCTATTTTTTATGGATGCAGCTTTGTGGTTATCCCTCAACCTGTTGCTGAGGTTACGCAAGCTTTGGAAAACCAAACCAACACAAGCCTATCAAGACAAGGTTGGTAGGGTCAAGTGCTGTCTTTTTTTAGGCAAGCTGACACAGTGGGAAAAAAAGGGAAGAGCATTCAAATATGTGAGACTTTTCTCCAGTCATATATCTAAAACATCACAGCTACGAGAGCACTAAGCCTTGCTGCTGTGGAACAGCTATGCACTGTTTGTGAAGTGGTAGTAAACAAGATTCTTTCACTGAACTTCTGGCAGGAGAAGCTTGAGTAGCTACAAAATAATGTGTCGCTCACTAAACATGGAAGAGTTAGAGAGACATGTCAGTGAAGTAACAGACGTGAGGGTGAGTGGATTGGACTTTAAAAACAAACATGTCTGTACAAACTTGGTTTGCTTGAGGCATAAGGTCTATGTATAAAGGTTGATCAGGCTCCCTAATAAAGAAAATCTGGTGGGTTTTTACATAGAGATACTTATGAGCTGCCCAACTGAAGTGATGTTCATTTGCAAATTCAGGACTCTTCCAGGAAGAAAACTGCTTTATGAACTGGAAATACTTTCAGACCCACACTCAGCTACTTTAGTAGTACTCAGTGGACCAAACTCTTGTTTCACTTTTGCAAGTGAAAATGAGAAATAACACCACTGAAATCGATGGAATCCTCTCAGTGGAAGTGAGCATAACCCATTTTTCTCTGCTTATAAAATCAATAGAAAAAACCCTATTTGATTGTTTATGATATGCATGTACTTATTATAAATAGTAAAAATGATCTCTTAAAAAGTGAATTTGTTTTTATCATGCTTCATTCTCATTCTTCTCCTGTGACATGTATTTCAAAATGCTGCAGTGATTTTTCAGCAGTGATGCCCTCTAACATTCAAAGGAAAGAAGTGCTGCCAGGTGTGAATGCTGGTAGCACATCTCCACTCTCAAACACAGGTTCATAGCTATATAGCTGTACAGGAAGCCCATGTTGATGGCTTTGGGCAGCAGCACTTGGCCCCAGCATGCAAATGTATGTGTGCTGTAATGCATTAAGACAGTCATGGCATTGAGCATGGGCATGGCATTGAAGTGAGCCTGGTGACTGAGTGGAACTTGAGCATCTCCACTTGGAAATGTTGTGGTATTTTAGGCACACAGTTCTCACTCAGATGAAGTATCGGTTTGTGTATTAAACACTTTTTACTTTCTGTAGACTTTCTGCAAGGAAGGGGTTAGTTTGTCAAAGGAGTATCTGAAGTGCTGGGACCTTAAGACAGACTCACAAAAGTCTTGGCAAAGGCCTCACAAAGGACCATGAACATTTTTTGAGAAACGGAGTTTGTTTACGGTGACATTAGGTTGAAAAAATGAGAAAGTTGTGGTTCTGGTGCAGAACAGGCACAGCACAGGAATAGTTTCTTCTGAGAAATAAATAAATAAATAGATCCTGCTGGCTACAGCGGTGAAGCTGCTCTGTGTATTGTCTGAGGTGTTGCTGATGCCCAGCCCCTGTCTAGATGTGTGAGGTGGTGCTCTGAAGGTACATAGCTGAGCTGACTCTGGATGAGCTAGCCTTGCTATCAGGAAGCATCTCACTGCATCCTTTGAGATCAAGCTCGTATGCAGCACTGCACTGCCAGCCTTCCACCTGGACACAATTCAGTTGCAGGGTTTGTAGGACTGTAGATGTGCCTATAAAGCCAGCAAGTCTCAGAAGGCTGCCTGGTAGAATAAAGCTTTAAAGGCACAACCTATGCTTATTGTGCATAGAGGTACTCCCTCCAGCTTAATTAAGAGCTTCTGCTGATACATACAGCTGTACTGAGATTCTGCTGACTCTGGAAACAATACTAACAAAATAAATGTGTACAGTCTTGCACAAGTTTAGTCCATGTTGTTGCTGGGAAAAGGAGATACAGTCAAGTCATCATTAGCTATAAAGGGAAACGTTTCCTGCCATCCAAGACACCCATTCAGGTAGGTAGCGCTGGAAGGCCTTGCAAGGCTGTTTTACCCTCTCTACATTTACAATAGGGATTCAGAAAGCATACTCTTACACATCAGAGTGAAATGAAAGATACTTGCTATTTATGGATATTTTTCGGCAACAAAGTTTCTCACAGAATGAAGTGCCATGACTGGAAAAGCCCAGCCTTCCTCCAAACCCCTAAAGTCTTTTGTATTGACACCTGTAGTTTCTTCATAGTGAGCTCAAATGACCTCTTTCAGCCAAGTACTGAGAGGAAGAGGAAAAGGAGAAGTGAAAGGTTTTTACCCTTGCTTGTGTAACTAATAAACAGGATCATTTGCTGGTTACTCAGCTGAATGATATACCAGCAATAGCAACATGGCATTAATAACTTGGGAGGAGCAGGAAAGAGTTTGTACTTGAGTGAATGTTTGTCTCTCAGCAAGAAGCTTCTGAGTCACCAAAAAAAATCAATCACTGAGATCAGGCAGCCAGGTGGTAGCTTTTGTCTTTTTACTTTTTTTGTTAAATAGCAGGATGAATTAAGGGGTAGCTGATCTCTTCAGATGTCTGGGGGTTTGGATGGATTGTGTTCAAATGTTTATATTAGTTCTGTCTAGTTGTTTTATAAAACTTTGTTTATTTGGCAGGAAGAATGGAGCAGCATTTTACACATGAAGTGCCAAGTCCACAGCTGAATTTAATGGCAAAATAAAGAGGCATTCACAAGTAACTGCTTGGTTAGTTGCGGTGACTTTGTAGCAGGAAAAACCACCAGAAGACTGAGTAAAGTGAAACACATAAAATTTAGAAAGATTAATTTTATTGTATGCTGTTCCCATCCTGAGTGACTGCACCCTGGGCACTGGTCAGCAGCAGCATTATTTTCACCACTGAGAATCTGGCCCAGATCCAAGCATGATAGACTTAAGGGATAATATATCTAATAGTTAAGGATAAACTAGACAATCATGGGAAACCTGTTTCCTGACAATAGAAAATTCCTGTTCCTATTTCTGTGGTGTTTAGGACAGAAAGGCAGAAAAATGCTTATTGTACTCTTTGTAGGTGTAGAAGATTATGCCATTATCTTTTAAACATGCACACTTTTCTCTTTTTCATTCTAGGTGCTACAGGAACTACTAAAGATGTGTAAGTACTTGCTTTACTCTTTCACATATGTAACCTTGGACTTACTTTCAGTCCAACTAGCCTTATACTAGAGTTAGTCATACATGATTCATCTGGTTCCTAACATACAATCAACAGATGCTTATTGTCTTTAGTGGCAGCTTCCATCTTCACAAAACAACTTTCTGTCTTGTTTACTATTCTACTGATTCCTTCCCTGGTTATTTCTCTAACAGAAATGTAATTTTTCTGCCTCTGTTGAGAGAGTTGTCTCCCAGAAATGGTCTTGTTACTTCAGGCCACTCTTCCATATCATGCACCTTATTCCAAAGGCCATGTCACAACCACATAAATTTCTACCGAGCCCTGTGAGAGATTTATAGAACCACTGAGGCAAATTTCCCCTCTTTGCAGGAGATCCGGTGACCCATCCAGGCTTCCTTTTCAAAGTACCCACCTTCTCTAGTTGTCCGCAGTGAAGATAGTATCTATCAGCTCCTCTGCTGAGAAGCAGAGGGCAGCCCTACCCATCCTGTTTTTCTCTAAATGTGGAAGGTCTGAAGCTCTATTGTCCTGTTACCTCTTGCTAGCTTCTGGTTTTCAGAAAAGCAGCAGCAAAAATATCAGCCTTTCTCAGCCCATTTTTCATTCACTGATGCAGAAATGTTCAGAAACAGCTTTATTCAGCCATAAATCTGTTTTCCTATCAAAGGAAACATAAAATAAGTCCTTCTGAGGCTTTGCCTTCTTCTATTTCATAGAACTGATATTTGCCACTGGAGTTTGAGACTGAGGGGCCTGGGAAAGATTTTCATGTTATGCAATAGGAACATTCTTAAGTTTTATTTACCTCATTTAGAATAACTACTCTAATTAGACAGAGGAATGCTGGTGTAGAAATTAGGGCTGCCAAGTGAGATAAACAAGTGCAGAGAAGAGCTTAACAACAGGCTTGTCCTTGCTATTACAGAACACAGCTGAGAACTAACAACAGGTCTCACTTGGCAGATGAACCCTGTTGTCAGAGATATTCTTGAGCTCTGTGTTCCCCTTGTAGTCTGTTTTCTGGGTTTGCAGTGCCAGACAATAAATAAATTACAGAAGGCAAGCTTATGAGGAACCTCTTCTTGATACAGCCTTCAGCATCACTGCCCTCAGCACTTCTATATCTACAAAGCCACTGTTTTTACTTTATATTGGGGCCTTTTTTTGTTGTTCAGTTTATTGACTGACTCAGAACTGCATCTCTATTTGCTTTTTGGTAGTTCTAAATATCAAAACTGCAATCATTGTTAAAATATTAATTTAGTTGGCACATTTCTGTGCTTAAAGGTATGGGTATTGACAGAGCTGCATTTATGTGTGTGTAAGAATTGGTAAGGTTAGGCTTTAGGAGCTAAACTGGGAACATCCTATTTACTAATGTTAGATCATCTGTCATGTTTCAAAAACATATTGAGATAACTTAGAAAAAACTACTTGCTAGTGAAGACTTCAACAAAGTGAAAGGGTCAGTCCTGGAACTATTACTCACTCAGATAAGTATAGTGGAGCCAGCCGAACAACCCGTGTGAGTAATAGGATGGTTGAGTCTTCTCATCAGACATTAGAAACACAGATCTGTTACTGAAGAACAGCAGTGATGACCCAAAAAGTCCTAAATCAACCATCATAATATTTAACGAGAGATTTTTATGAAGGAAGTAAAATACCAGAAAAACTATTTTATTTTTGTGGAAATGAACAAAGCAGATTTATATTAATTAACATTATAGATCCACACAAGCTTTTGTTTTACACCTTTTCACTTTTATCAGCTATGGAGTAAAAAATTCTCTTTTAAAACCCTCATGTTTTTTTGCAGTCAGATTTCAGTCTTTTAAATTCTGGTTTAGAAAAGCATTTAGACGTGTCCTTACTTACAGAATACTTTTTAATACAGATTGTGGTTATTCTAACTCAAGAGATTTCTCATTTCTTGACTGCAACTCATTGCCAAGGCACCAGCATCTCCTGGACTGAACAGCTGGGTGGAAAGAGGAAGGGCTGGATCCTCCTCTGAGCCCTCTCAGGTGACTCTGGAGAAGCTGCTTTGCCCTCTGGGCCTCGAGTTCCTCCACCAGTAAGATAGGGATGATGATATGGTCTTGCTGCACAAAAGCCTATGAAACTGAGAGTGACAAGAAGGATGTATGGTCTGCGAAGATATTATCTTGTGTACTCCAACCCTCAAAGCAATGGTGGGTCTGTCAGCCAGCTTCAGCCAGAGCTCCCACCCCACTCATGAGGAGAAGTACATCACTGCTAACCAGAAAAGCTTAGACAGAGGAGGGGTACAGTATATGTTAGAAAATAATGCGGCGCCTGTGATATTCAGAAGGTAGTTACGTTCAGAGGAAGATTAGTAACATCAGGAAAGAAAAGACCCAGCAGTTCAAACCTGTTTCAAAATACTGGGAAGAAATCTGTCAAATACAAATGACAGGCCCTTGTTTCCAAGAATTGCTGAGAAACTGAGAAGAAGTAGCCTGTGACTCGTGCGAAGTTTAGTGAATAATTTCTGGTGGCACTATTGAGCATGGCTAGAAAGAGTCTGTATAATGCTTGGCACAAACAGAGTCATAAAAGCTGAGATGAGAAAAATGTGGATGGAATGAAATAATATGAATGCCTGTCATTTGATATTTAAAATATCAAGTGAAAAATGGCAGCTTCTTTTACCATCAAGTGGACATAGGACTGATGGATGTAAAAACTGACAGTTGAACCAAGTATGGTTTTCATACTTAGTAAAGTGACAGGGAGCCTCTTGGGATAGACAAATCCTTAGCAAAAGAAACATCTATTCTAGCTGAAAATAGAATGCTGCTATGTGGATTTGCTGTTAAATCCTCCTACCAGCTACAGGACTCCACCTACGCTACCTGCTGGAAAACGTGCTCTCAATGCCTCTGCAGTAGATGTCAACAACATCTGAGGGAAGATGAGGCACACAGCAGCAGCTTAGTACACAACACATTGGACTGCAAAGTTCCTTCTGCTGTCTATTCCTGATGCAGAAAAGCTTATCCAAGTTATCTTTTGCTGGAGGATTCCATAAATGGAGATACTTAAAGATTTTATTTTTTTTTATGCTAGGTGCTTCCTTCATTCCTGAAATAAGAAGCTAGAGACACACTAGAGGTAGAGAGGGAGAGAGAACAGATGTGCTGGACCTCTGTATCTCCATGACCTCTCTGTGAGTCTGGGAGATGTGGCAATGGGTGCACTGCCAAAACCAAAAGGGCTTCTTCCCATGCTCTCTTCCACGTGGTCAAGCATTGCTGCTGCAGCCTTGCTCCTCAAACCATCCATGTTCACCCAGCCTGGGCACAGAAGCAGCACCTGCTGCAGTGGCTCAGCTGGCACCTGGGAATTTAAATACTTGAAATCAGTGGGCATCTCTCGAAATGGGGCCTTTAAGCTACAGCGTGTGAAAGCAAGAGGAGTGTGAATGTGCATAATGCATAAACTGGAGCAGTACTCCTTCCTAAGCTGCTTGGAAAGGAGTCTCCCATAAAGGAGTGGAAAATGGCTTTTTAAAAAAGTGTCATCACCAGAACTTGTATTTTTTCCCTTCTCATGCTTCTATGTTTCTCCTGCTCTGCTCACCTCCTCTTCCCTAGCAGGACTAGAACAGATTGCATCCAGTCGTCACCCAGTCCAAGAACTGCAGCCTATGTGATGCCAGATTATATTTGCAGTTGCAGTTTTAAGGGAAAAGATATTGCAAAATTAGGCTTCGATTTGTAGCTAGTAAGAGGAAAGGAAGAAAGCAAAGTGTTTAAAAAAACCCTAGTCTGCTTAATCATGGACCTGGATAATTTGTTTTGGTGAGAGAATGACAGTAATGGTCCAGTGATGCCCTGTTACAAAACATTTCTAGAACAGAAGAAAATAGCATTGTTGCCTAGTGGAGGCTTTTTTTCTTTTTTATTTTTCAACATTGACATTAATTTCCTGTTGGTCAATATTGATTATTATTCTTACAACTCCATTTTGGACGCTTTGAGATGTGCATGATGTTGCCAGTCCTTTTAAAGTATTATTTTCTCTCAATAATGGTTAATCTGGATTACAGAAAATGTTTCAAGTTGTTTGAGAAAATCAATCCTGTGACACATTCAGTTGGTTCAACAGAGAAGATTTTTTGGCACCCAAAGTCCCTTTCTTAAAGTGTTATCCTTTGTATGTAAAAATACAGGCCTCATTTCTACTGGTGGATATACAAAGGCTTTCTACTTGCTTCAGCTGGAATTGGCCCAAACTAGGACAGACCAGCTTCGCAGTCCTCAAGTAAACTTGTCTCTGCATTTTTCTGGCTGTGTGTGTGAGGACTGCAGGGTGGGTTAGGCTTTGTGGGGCCAGAGGAAAAGGGAGATGCCTTCTGAAATGGCACTAGATCCTCCAGGGAGAAGTGGCAGGAAGGCCAGAGAATGAGTGGTTTATTGCTCCATCTTTTGAGCAGTAAGATGTGGACAAAGACAGCAGATGGGAGAGACTCACCCCACTCAGTGCTATGTCCTGCATGAATATCATTTAGCAAAAGTGCAGCACATTTAAATTGCCCCAAACATCTACTCCTGAAAGGACTTGTGTACCCTTATTCACTGTGGTGACACAGAAAGAAGGGTTTATAATGTTCTGCCACTTAGAAAGAAGGTAAGTATAAGATAACTTCCAACATATAGCAGTACTGTAAGGCACTTACTACCCTCCCAGGAGAGGGCTGACTGAGGTTTAAGGGGTGTTGTTCTTGTATTTAAGGCTGCATCTTGCAACAATCTCTTTGCACTTTGAGCCAAAATACCATTGACTTCAGGGGTCAGTAATGGCACATAGCCCTGACCATTAAACAGGAGGCACATCTGCCTCTTAGAATAAATAAATTACAATAAGAAATGTCATATTTTTGTTAAATATCATAGTTCAGAAATGCCTTTAATGGCTACAGAATGGATTTAGCCCTAACACTGGGTAAAGGCCAGCTCTCAGTTTTATCACCTAGGGAGCAGTTCAGAAATGCATGGATCAGCTGATGATGGGGAGCATCTTTGCATTGCCCCTATTATCCAGGCAACTGGTCCTTCAATGGGGATATTCAGATGAGATTACCTGTGCATGAACATTTCCACAGCGGAGCTCTCCCTGGGTTGTGGAGTCCTCTTTGCTCTTTGTAGCCTTCCCTGGACCCTGTACCTCATGGCTCCCCACGCACTATGGTGCAGGACTCCTTGGGCAGTAGAAGTTGCCCTCCTGGGGAAAGGGTAAAGGATGTCTGTGGATTTAACAGCACTCAAGCTGTCTTACCTCTGTTTTTATTGCTAGGTTGATAGGTTGCAGACCAAGCTAAAGTACTGCTGCTGCCCCAATCCATACCCAGCCATGCAAGCAGAGCTCAAAGCCCAAATATTTAATCAAAGGTGGGTCTTTAATCAAAGACTGATGCTGGGGCACAGACTGAGACTGCAGCACAGCCACTATACCCTCAGGGAGTAGGAATAAACATTTTATCATTTCCATGCTACCTTTGCCTTCACATCGATGCCGATTACTTTGCCCTGTGCCACACTGGACAGTATTTCAGTCTAAACCTCAGTGACCCCCTACCGACCTACAGACTGACCTGTGATTTTACCCTAAGGGTAAAAGAGACATAATTGCCATTTATAAAGCATTAGTAACAGTTATTTGGTTTGCAAACAGCTCTGAGTTCAGGAATTGCAGTACCTCATTTTATGGAGAGACTCTGTAACATCTTTTGGCACAGCTGTTGTTGAAGTTTATCTTTCTCCATCCTCATTTCCATGCTAGCACTGACACCCAGTGCCTTCCAGTCTTCTTTTAATGGAATAGCAGCCCAGACTTGTTCCTGTTCTGTGTAGAGCTTTATGTTCCTGTTTGTGTGGAGCAGTGGGGGGACTCACACAGGAAAAGTGTTAATTTACCAGTTTTAGCTCCCAAACCCACTCTCAGGCATCACTGGTGGGACTCATGAAAACTAAGATGCATCTATTCTCAATCCCTTTCTTTCTTCTGTACACTAGATTGGAAAATTGTCACTCTTTTTGTGCCTTTGTGAACACTTTATGGAATTGTGGATGATGGAATTAAACTGGGATCAGTAATAATCCCCTTCTTCCCTTCCTCCTGAATCTACTTGGAAAGTGATGAAGTATCTGATACTGTACAATCTGATAATGTACTTTATATCTTTTGATGTTACAGAGCAGAAGAATCCATATCAGATGATGACAAAAGGAGGTAGGTGCTCTGCTGGGACTGGCATTATTTGCAACAGGCTGCAGAGAGTTCTGCCACCAGGCAGAACCTTCCTGTACTTCCAGGCAGTACAACCTTCCTTTCCTCCTAGTCACCACCAACACCACCAAAGCAGAGAAAAAAAAAAAATAGTAGGAAATGTCTCATAGAGCCCAGTATTGATGAGTTCACCCACCCCATCAGTAAGTTGGGAAGGAGAGAACTTTGTTGGAAGAAGAGCACATTATCTCACAGCTTTGCTGATGTGCTTTTTAAGTGCCAGTGGCTTCGACCTTCACACCAGCCCCCCCACAGAAGGTGGCATTAGCACTCATGGGATATCTCTGTTGGGCTAGAAATCAAAGGACGTGTGACTCTATAATCAAACAAACTAGGTATTAACTCAAAGCTCCATGAGCTGGGTGAAGTGCGATTAATTTGACACCCAGCAGGGTAGAGCAGAGTAATGGGAGTCACTACAAGTAGCTCCGGGCACAGCAAAGGCTCTTAAGGACCCAGTTTTTTACCTTCTTGAATCAGCCCCTGCCTTTCATACAGGCCTTGGAGCCAGAAAATATGCTCTGCAATGCCATAAAGAGAAGAGGGTTGGGCTAGAAAATTATCTAACACCCTTGTGCTCCTTCTTATTAACAGTTTTCTCCAAGCATGGCCCTAAGCAGGGGGTTGCAGGTGCTATTTTATTAACAAGGAGAGGTCAAAGTAGTGTGTAATTTGTGTGCATTGTCTGAAGTGAGGTGCTTCAGTGCTCCCAGTGCTGAACATCACTATCAAATTGTCTCTGTCCTCAGCTAGATATATTTGGTATCTAGAAGGAGCTGGGCAGGTGGGGCTTATTGTCAGAACACAGCTGGAATATAATGAAAAATTGTAGGAACTGAGGTGGAAAATAGCTCCTTCTACAGGCTTGAAGTAAGTTGGTTTTTTGCAGCCCAGACTTGTTCCTGTTCTGTGTAGAGCTTTATGTTCCTGTTTGTGTGGAGCAGTGGGGGGACTCACACAGGAAAAGTGTTAATTTACCAGTTTTAGCTCCCAAACCCACTCTCAGGCATCACTGGTGGGGCTCATGAAAACTAAGATGCATCTATTCTCAATCCCTTTCTTTCTTCTGTACACTAGATTGGAAAATTGTCACTCTTTTTGTGCCTTTGTGAACACTTTATGGAATTGTGGATGATGGAATTAAACTGGGATCAGTAATAATCCCCTTCTTCCCTTCCTCCTGAATCTACTTGGAAAGTGATGAAGTATCTGATACTGTACAATCTGATAATGTACTTTATATCTTTTGATGTTACAGAGCAGAAGAATCCATATCAGATGATGACAAAAGGAGGTAGGTGCTCTGCTCGGACTGGCATTATTTGCAACAGGCTGCAGAGAGTTCTGCCACCAGGCAGAACCTTCCTGTACTTCCAGGCAGTACAACCTTCCTTTCCTCCTAGTCACCACCAACACCACCAAAGCAGAGAAAAAAAAAAAATAGTAGGAAATGTCTCATAGAGCCCAGTATTGATGAGTTCACCCACCCCATCAGTAAGTTGGGAAGGAGAGAACTTTGTTGGAAGAAGAGCACATTATCTCACAGCTTTGCTGATGTGCTTTTTAAGTGCCAGTGGCTTCGACCTTCACACCAGCCCCCCCACAGAAGGTGGCATTAGCACTCATGGGATATCTCTGTTGGGCTAGAAATCAAAGGACGTGTGACTCTATAATCAAACAAACTAGGTATTAACTCAAAGCTCCATGAGCTGGGTGAAGTGCGATTAATTTGACACCCAGCAGGGTAGAGCAGAGTAATGGGAGTCACTACAAGTAGCTCCGGGCACAGCAAAGGCTCTTAAGGACCCAGTTTTTTACCTTCTTGAATCAGCCCCTGCCTTTCATACAGGCCTTGGAGCCAGAAAATATGCTCTGCAATGCCATAAAGAGAAGAGGGTTGGGCTAGAAAATTATCTAACACCCTTGTGCTCCTTCTTATTAACAGTTTTCTCCAAGCATGGCCCTAAGCAGGGGGTTGCAGGTGCTATTTTATTAACAAGGAGAGGTCAAAGTAGTGTGTAATTTGTGTGCATTGTCTGAAGTGAGGTGCTTCAGTGCTCCCAGTGCTGAACATCACTATCAAATTGTCTCTGTCCTCAGCTAGATATATTTGGTATCTAGAAGGAGCTGGGCAGGTGGGGCTTATTGTCAGAACACAGCTGGAATATAATGAAAAATTGTAGGAACTGAGGTGGAAAATAGCTCCTTCTACAGGCTTGAAGTAAGTTGGTTTTTTTTTTTTTGTTTGTTTTTTGCCTGGCACCATATTAGCACATGGCACTTACTATGGACTTTTCCCACAGCCACAGGAAAGGTGGGCTCCTCTGTGGATGCTCGTACAGAGGCACTCTCCTCTCTGACCAGTCATGCTCTTCGTATAGCTGCTGTGTGATGCTGACATTGCAGGGAGAAGTGTTTCAATTAAACTCTGATGTCTCTTTAATTGCTTCTTTAAATCAGGAACTATGGTGGTGTGTATGTTGGGCTGCCCTCGGACGCGGCTGCCATGGTTTCCAGCCAGACGAAAACTGCACCAAAAGGTATTGGAAAGTTGCATAATTCCTTTCTCTAGCTTTCTCAGTTTAATTTTATCTGGTAATGTGTATTTCTTTTTTAAAAAAATCAATTATTATTTCAGACAGACTGGCCAGCCTTGGAGCCTCTTAAAGCAGTGAGGCTATTTATAATCATTGCAGTGATTGTTCCCATTTTTTAAAATTTTAACACACTTGCTTTTGCAGAAGGATCATAGAGCAGATGCTGACAATGTGGTACATTGTCTTCTGAACAGCTTCTCGACTCTCTTAGTGCTCCACAAATTCAAAGGAGATAAAACCCTGTTAGGACTAAGAGGCTATGATAGATGCACTTGCAGAGCCTCAGAGCTATTTTTAGTTTTGAAGGTGTTTACTTGCATTGTGGTGAATTCCAGTAATAACAGTTAGTGATTGCTTTCAGGTTTATTTCTGATCTTATATGAAACCCAGTGCAAACTGTTTTTTTCCATGTGATGTTTTTGAACAGTGGGAAAAAAACATTAGATTTATAGGTACTTAGTAACAAGTCATAAACATGTATTTATGAAATAATGTAATAGTTACTTAGATTTAATACAACAAAATGCGACTGTCACATACATACACCACAGTTTAGTCACTGACTGGTGCTTCCAAAGCTTGCTGCAAAACAAAAAAAACCAACAACAACAAACAACAACACTATTAACCATAATAAAAAGTAGCTGGTTTTGTAACTGTATTACCTTTGTTACATGCTTCTTTTTTTTTTCTTTTTAAATTGTGTTCTACGCTAGTGATCCGTTACCTTGTTTTAACCATCTTTGCCTTTTGTTTTCTAATTAAGATTAGAAGGAAATGAACACATCAAGATCCAAGCAGCTGGAGGTACAGTGTGTCTTTTTTAATGTTATGTGCTTGACATGCATTCGTTGAACAGAAACAAGGTGGTGATGCTCCCTGTCCTGCTCTCGAGTGGACTGGAAATTGCCCAGTTACTTCTCCAGCTGCAATGGAGATGGCTGGACCAAAGGCCAGTTCTCAGTGGTGCAGATGTAAATTAAACAGGGGGTAAAGTTGCCCTCTTGGTGAGAAGGGAGAAGCAAGGAAATGGTGTACTAACCTGTTTCGGGAATTAATAAAAATCAAACGTCCTTTTGTGCACCTTCAACCACAGCTAATCCTGCAGCAATACTAAGACCTCCCATGGTGAGGTGAGGTGCATCAGCAGCGTGTAGGCTGCTATCTGTAGAGTCAAAGCTTTCCCCAGGAATCAGTCGTTTGCAGTTAGAAAACCTTGTCTCTGTTCTGGGGAAGACCAAGATGAGGCACCCACTAAGTAACTTACTGGAGTTTTCCTCTTGCTGTGGTAGGAGTTCCTCTTGCTGTGAGGTGTTGTTCTCCACTGATCAGAATAGGACAGTGAAAATTTACAGGCTCTATAGACTCAAGAGTTTCAACTAACTAAAATTTAATAAAAGGTCCTTTACCAGTTCTTGTCTGAAGAAAAATGAAAGAAGCCAAGTTTCCATTCAGAATTTGAACTAAATAAAAGTTGACAAATTTCACAAGGGTGATTTTCCATTTCAAATTCCAAAATGGTTTTCAAATTTCAAAGGAGATTTTATGTCTAGTCAGTGGGGTGGGAGAGAAAGCTGCCTATATTTTCCATAGGAAGCAGAACCCTTTCCTAATTAAGGTGAAGAGCCAGAAACAGTTTGGCTGGTCCCGATGCTGGATGTAGGTCTAGTAGAGCAGATCACACATATACTGATTCTCTTTAATGGAGCTTTTTTGTTCCATGAGCTTTGCTAGGAGTGTTCTTACACATGGAGCCCTTCGGTTGGTCATCATACCTAATTTCAGTAATTGGGCTGAGATGTCCAAGGAAGGAACACTGGCACCCTTGACCTGGGTGAGACCACAGCTTTCCATCCATGGTTGATGAAGAGAGCCTGGGTTAATTAGGTCCTTGTCTAGGTTCTTTAGTTAAATGCCTGATGTTGGGTAGAATCATTCACTAAACTTTTTTTGCTATTCAGAATAGTTGAAAGTACACTTGGCCTTCACTGGTGCAGGATCAGGGCTCGGTGGCTGACTCACACTGAAAAAGACTTACAGCAATAAGCACCTTTGAATCTGCAAAGGATCCTCTGAGCTCTACGAGTTTATGGGCATGTGTGCCTGGAGGGCATAGGCCACAAACTTCTCCGCGTCTAATGATGCCCCAGTTTGCTGGCTCAGGAATAGAATAGTGCTTTGCCCATAATGCTTTACTAGTGCAGCTAAAACTGTTTGTTCCTTTCTGTTTTTCAACAGTCTTCTACTGAGACCAGTTGCCAGTGCTTCAGAGAGAGAGCTATCTATGTGCTGAAGATTTTTGTATTTACATAGCCTTCCAGAGAGCATGAGAGATCAGAGCACCAACAAAAATCAAAGCTGTTGCAAGTTGCAACTACGGGTAAAGCTTAAAGTACAGTATTGAATCAGTTTCCTACAGTGGTTGCAATATGGAAACCTGCTGTTCTCCAGTGAAAAATCAAATTAATGAATCAATGAACTCATGGTGGATGTTTCTGCACAAGAGCTAACTCTGATGATCTGCAACTTATTTCTCTGTGGCCATATTGCAGATTTCATCAGCTATCAGCTACGCTTCATATATTTTCTCCAACAATTTTTGATAGATTTTATATAGAAAACCATTACTACTGTTCACTTAATAGTTCCTATTAGGTTCCTATTAATTAATTGTTAATTTACTTCAGAGTAATATATTTGACAGGTTTGCATCTTTTTGGTAATATTGCAAATTTTAATATTTTTGCTGTGAAAACTTCAGAAGAGGATGAAATAAATGTAAGACCGTTGGGTTCTTTATAATTAATACTGTCACTTTTATACAGTGAGACAAATGTTAGTGTTTAATTTTCACCTTTCAAGAAGATATTGCTTGAGGAAATTTATTTAAACTACAATGTATGTCATTGTAATATTTACATGTCTGGTTTTATTTTCTTCAGCTTTATCTCTTTTATAAAGCATTACATGGAAAAAAATACTAATGAATCAAACTCTTATGTCTTCCATTCTGTGTAATATTATAATGATATTGCCTTGCATAAGGATATAGTGATAGTATTTTCAGAGACAGTGGGACTAAAATCCAGTGCTGCATCCTCTTGACCTTTAGAGGATTTTTGATCCATATTATAGTGTTGTATCCCTGATTCATCTCTAAACATCCCCAGAATGGCAAATGGTAACAGAATGAGAGTTATTACTTTAGCAAATTGTTGCATTAAATAATGGATGGGCGGTTTTAAACTTCATTAAGTTTACGACTACTGTAGGTTTCCCGTAGAACATAAAACAGATTGTGGAGTTCCATATGGCAAGTAAGTATTTAAATTATTAAAGCCTTTTGCAAAATTCTTTAACTGAACTTTTTTTTAATAGGACATGATATGCTAGACACTTTAAACAAACAAGTAAACAAAAATCCCAACCCACACCACATTAAGATATTACTATATATTAATGACCAGTTTTTAAATTAACATAAAATAAACAGGGAACATTGGACATGAAGAAGCTGTGAACCATAAAATTACTGCCCATTTCACCAATATATATTACGACAAAAAAACAGACATTGACTATGATTTCCAGTAACTTGCAGCTCTGGTTTGAAATAAGTGGTAGTTTGCTTTGTGTGAGGCCTGTAAAAAGAAGTGTTTAAAAATATTCCTTGCTTCTCCTCTTTTAAGTATTTGTGACATTATTTACTGCTATTCTCTAGAAATCTGCTGCTTGGGTTATCAATGATTTCAGGCTTCTAGCTCCCAAAGTGAAACATGCCTCTCATTCTTGAACCCTTCAGCCCTGAACTGTGACAAAATAAGCTTGAAGATTATGAGGTAGATTTAAAATATCTCAGTATGAATGAATGTCAGTAGATTACATCTGCAGAGACTTGTTCTCACAAGCCAAGCTGATGAGGACTCAAATAGTGGGGGGGTAATAAACATTCTCACTTGCTTACCGTAGCGTAAAGGTGTAGTTTCCACATCACGTGTTCCACAAATTGTTGAAATGGTTTGCACAGTACAAATTTATTTAGAACAAAGCAATTAGGCCCATGTCTCACCTGATCATGATTGCCTTTTCCGAAGCAAAAAAAAACCCAGAACAGTCATCCTAGGACACATTGTAGCTCAGCTAGTGCTCAAAAAGCCAACAGCAAATGCCACTGATTTGCCATTATTTGTCCATTTGTCTCCTTCAGTTGCTGGGAGGAATCATCAAAAAGCTGGACAAGACTAAATTGAAATGGCACTTGTTTTGCTGCTGACATCTGAACCTCCATGTGTGGGCTAAGGAAAGAAAAAGGTGGTCTTTAATGAGTAGCATTAAAGCACTCCTAGCAGTTGGTGGTGGGACAGTTGCAAAGGGTACTTTTTCTTCTTTTATGTCATTGTTTGATTTTTCCTGTGCAAAGCTGCAGAGAAGTGTGGAGCACTTTGCAGAATTGGCCTGTTACTGATTCATCCTCTGAATGTGTGGGAGGTATGGTGGTGTCTTAATATTTTTGTTCCTCTGCATATTTTAGTCTCAAAAGCTTACTGATCAACTGACACAGGTTTCAGTATCACGGGCTGGAGCCTCTGCAATATATATATATGAATTTATGCCCTGCAGGCCTGTATCCATCAAACTAAAGAGCTAGAGCTGTGATCTTGTCTTAAACTTGCAGACTGGTGTCTTTCATTTTCCCAAGGACCCACAGATTAGAAGCTGTGTGACAGGAAACTCTGTTCAGTCTTGGCCAAATTCCTCTTAGGGAACTGATTCTCTGCTCATCAAAATTCCTCTGTGGTGCATAGCATTTCTTAAGCCTTTGTTAATAAAAACACATGACATTTCATGGAGAAATGAGAATATCTGGTCTTTCAAAAAACTTACAATCTATGGATATTTCTGTTAGGAGGAGGAAAACAAAAGAAACCCTATATGCCAGCTGCCAGCTGTGCATTTGATGGCATCCTTGGAGGATATTTAGGCACTCAAATGGTGGTTCAGTGTGAGAACTGAAACAAACACAAGGAGCCACTGAATGGTAGAGTTATTATTAAGAGATATACTTTAGTTTTGTCAAGACATTTTGAATTACCATTTGTAAAGAAGAAATATTGAAATGTTGGGGCTGTGATACCATTTCCTTTGCAGTTGTCACTCTTTCTCCAGCCAGAGCTGAGGAGGCAGTTTAGCAGATTCAGGCTTTATAATCTCAGAATTTCTGATTTTGGATTCTTTGACAACTCAGAAATACTCTGCTTGAATTCACATAACCCAGAAAATTGACTCTTGAAAAATTCTGGAGTATCAAAGCATAGGATTGAAACTACAATTAGTGAATAGCTGAAAAATCATCCAGACATCTTGTTGGGTTGCAAATTTTTTTTAGTTGTACGAACTATTTCACCTTGAAAAGCTGTTCCTTTGAATTACACTGATGAGACAGTGCATTTATTTTGCTTTCTTCTCACTGTAGAACCTGGTGCTTAGGTGTAAGGATCTGACTTCTTGGTATCTAGGTAGTCCAGATGGAGATATTACCCATTCCATGTGTGCCTTCCTATTCCACATGAATCCACTTCCCAGGCAGGTCAGGGGTTGTGACATAACTTCAAACCTCTGTGTCACTCAGGGGCTGACCCTGTCCCTAAGAGAGTTGCAGAAGACCTGGCAAAGCCCAGTGTAAGCTTAGTGGGGACTTCATTTACTACAAGTGAAATCCTCTCACAGCAAAGAGTCCTCACAAGTCTAAAGATGCAGAAAAACATAAAGGTGGAATTTGTCTCTAATGAACACAAAGGCAAAGTACTAATTATCTTGATTTCATCCTCCATGTGGAGCAGAGGTGTGTCTGCTGTATCGGACTATGGTTGAAATGGCACCTCGAGTGTGTAGTTCCCTGTCACCCACACAAGTCTAGTGATTCTCAATAATCGTGCTTCCCAAGCAGTTGGTGAGTCACTGCTGATCTGTTTTCTGCCAAGTAGACCTCTGTTCGGTTCCCATGGTGATCAGAAATGACACTTATTACAGACTGCTACTACAGTTCCTCAGTTGTGTGTACCCACTAAAATAAGCTCTTGTCTGGTTGTAGCTCCTTGGAGTTTCGCAGTACATCATCATTGCTTCCTATTGACAGCAATTTGAACACTTCAGGTGAATTGGCTTTGTGGAGAACATGCTGGAGGAGGGTGTTTTGTGGAGTATTTTGTTTTGCAATTTATTTTGAAAAAGGCCAAGAAAATAGCAGCTCTGTAATCTTTCCATAGAGCAATGGTGTGTCAGTATTGCAGGAAATCTTTTAGGGCTGGGCTAAGGGATTCAACCCTTGTTTTAACAACAAATGTGCACAGAACTTAGACTTATCATAAAAGGAGTACTTTCATTTTACATGATCTGACAGTTTTTACTGTAATGCTTGGGTTTTCAAACAGGAGTATTTCCCAGACAGCAAGAGACCTGCTTGTGGGCACTTAGAATGGCTGTCATCCATGTTGTGGGAACTTCTGTGTAGTGGGCACTTACCTGGTCATTATTAAAATACCTATAGCTGAAGAGAGGACCCTGCTTGTGAAACAGATCATTCCATGAAGTGCAGTGAAACTCTTAACTGTACTGAGAAGGGAATTAGAAAGATACCATGGGATGGAGCCTGGATGGATGGGACTTTGTGTGCCAGAAAGGAGGAAATACGTAGCAGAATGAGGATTATAATATTATGCAGTAAAGACAGATGCAGAAGAAGGTCAGGAATGGAAAATGATGTAAAAAAGAGAACAGTTCAATTGTCTGCTCCATTTCTCTGTGATTCGTAGCTCTTGAAAACAGAACAAGAGGTAGACCACTGCCAAATCACTTTAAGACTGAAGAGAAATGGAGATTGTCTTATTAGTTCATTCCAGCCCTCACAGGCCTGTGATTGCAAACATTTTGTGAAACAACTTACCTTTTTTTTTTTTTTTTTTTTTTTTCCTAATGCTCCATGTTATGAACCCATGAAGCTTTTATGTCCTTTTGGGTGTCACGAGGATACATAAATATCCTGCCTTCCCTTTCGAAATTTTTGTTGGTGTTCCCTTCGTTTATGTGTCTCTCTGCAGACTGAAACTTTTAATTACTTTGGCAGTTTGCATCATGCTTGAAAAACAATTTAGTAGACTGAGAAAATACAAAGATGTAAAAATCATTATCAGGCCTAGTACAAGGAAAGATTATAGAACATGCAAAAAGAAAGCAAGAGCTTAATCTGGAA